ATTAGGAGTGTTCTCCTGGCACTGTTAACTGTGTCTATAATAAGCTCTTATCTATTGACCTATCTATTTTTTTTTTATCCCCCGATAAATCCCTCCTAACTTCCCGGTGGGAGGGATAAGCAAGGTGTATCCCCCTCCTGAGGTATACTAGGTAATAAAATAAGGTGATATGTGGTGATTCTTAACTACTTGAGAATTAATTTTAACTAGTATTTGAGCAAGATTTTCAATTGGATGGGGGAAAAGGGATAATACAATAATCATATTATTTTATATATAAAAAAGTAGTTATGAACACAAAAGCAAGAAGATTAATTCATATGGGGATTTTGACTGCAAAGCTTGTAATTGATATAACACTGCTAAAATATACACACTTAGGCCCAACTATTGAAGCCTGTCTGGAAAATAGTTATTGAAATCCCAAGGGAACTTGTTTGATTAAAAAAGCTCACTGCAAAAGGTTTTGATATCATTCAGCCATTGTATAGGCTACTAAAATCATTAGGTTCTGGTACAAAAGAGATCACAGGCCCAGCAGGGAAATAAGAGATGGGGATTAGCAAAAATACTGTAATATTAACAGCAAAGAGGAATGATAGTTAAAATAGAGACATGAATTTGTAAATCCAAATTTCTTTTCTTACTATGTACTATACTATTCTACTTGTTGATACCACAACAAAAATAATCATTCTACTGCTATCTAAAGACATCAACAAATACTTCATCACTCAATTATTTTGAGGTAATTCCAGTATGGCATTTTGATACACAGGTCTCCCTCTAGGTAAGACTTCTCAAAAAATTACTCCATAGAATTACATTTCTTCTAACCAATAAGACATTTTGACGGTAATAATATGTGTTGTAGTTTTGACATTTCCAATAAAACTAAAGGGCTGTTTATTTCAGTAATATCCATTTTACACACAAAAAAAACAACAAAAAAATAAAATAAAAATAAACACCTCCCTTGAATATATGCCCACTCAAAAACCCTTCTCAACAATAAACACCCCCAGTGAAATTTGATGTTCATATCTTAATGTAATGTAAATTAGCTTTCTTTACAGAGTTTAACATAAGAGTTTTTATAATTATAGCTATTACTCGTGTGCTGAACTTTGTGCAAAAGTGAAAGCTTTTTGATATGTATTTGTAATGGTCACATGACCCTCACAGAATGAAGCTGGTGCAAGAGTTGAACTTCTAAATATCAAGATTCTGAAAATTAAAGTTAGCATTTTTCTTTCATACTAATAAGTGAGTCCAATACCAGTTTACATGTATTTTCTGCCATAATTCTAAGTTTTATCAGTATTGAACACAGACATTCCAAACACTTATAATAAAAAAAGTGTCATGGAGTGGACGATAACCCAAGCAAGTTTTAAAACCATGTACAGTACCCCTCGACTACCACCACTAAAACTTAGCCAAAGGCAGTATAATGCAAGTGGAACCATTAGAATCTTTGTGAATACAAATTATACTTGTCCTCACTCAACTGGGGTATTTGAAAATTGGACTGGGCACCTGGGCTGGGGCGGAAGCAGGGGATGTGCAGACACCCGTTTCATTAAGAAAAGTAATTATTGTATTGTATTGTATTACTGGTAAGATTTTTAACGTATGAGAGTGCAATTTCCAGGCACCTAGAGGTCCTTATTCTCATAATTTCCTCACCTCAGCCCCAACTATGGTGCGGCTTAGGTGGTGTGGACTCTCACGGACCCCCTACTGCAAAATCCTGCATCCGCCCCAGCTGGTACCTTCGGTAGCCACAGTGCAACCCTTCCTGACTTAACAGTAATGGGTGCATATAAAAATCGCATAACTCTGTGAAGGAGGGAGAAGTTGAGGGCTATACCAGTACTCAAGTCTTGGCATCCTAACCGGGTCTTGAAGCTTGGTACACAACTGAAAGAGGCAGAAGCATTAATTCCCGGCCGAACACTTGGCTCACATCTCAGGTTAAACAAATATTCTATTTAAAATGCGAGCATCTCATTAACATTTGCAGCCCTGGACCAGATGTATGCATAATGCATTATGTATTCAGGTTTTCATATTAGACATCAACTCCATCAAACTGTGATGACGTCAATTGCGACTACTATCATCCCTTTGTAATTACAGATACGGATATTTTAATATAAGGTACAGTTATTCATAATTAACCATTTACATTGTTCACAATTACTTAATGTACATTAGATTCACAATCTTATGTTACATCGATGAGTGATGAATTTTGAATATTAATCAAATACATTATTCAAGGGTCTTTGTTTGCTTTGACTTTAGTGTCCCTTGAAGAAAAGGAAAATTGTTTTTTTTGTTTTTGAAATTATTTTTTTCCACTTTTTTAAACAATTTTTGTTAAAAATATGACTATTTTATGATGTTTATTTCTAAGTTTAAATTGTGTTGTTGATCATTATTTAAAGTGGCACATTATTTTTATTTATTTATTTATTTTGACCATCTTTATAGAGGGTGAGCCTTCCAGCTAGGCCCTCTACATGATAAAATAAGAAACAATACAAATATTGAATATTTAAAAACTGGGGAAAATGTGGAAAAAAAGCGTGTATCTCATTGACCACTTCCAAGTTTTTAGTCAAATATGCTTTTTGTGTATTAGAAATACCAATTGTGTAACGTATCAAAAAAAACCCAAAAAAATCCTCAGGAGCCTGGCTTTAACAAACTCGCTGCCAGGGGCAGTGTTCTCTGGGCACTCAGGACATGAGTCCACATCAACATCGAAAAATACCACAAATTGCATGTAAACTCACTGGCAGTGGTTGCCAGAACACGACATCTTGTCCTGTAGGTTCAGGGAAGAACCTGGAGGTAATGATCTAAAAAAAATTGGCGTATGTTTGTGACTCATTATAGCCGATGGGAATGATTTCCATTATGCCTTTTATGACTTAGGGTATTGAACGGAGCTGGGAAAAGGGCTGGCAGTCAACCTGTAAACGCTTATTCGTATACACAGCACTTTAGTGATTTGATGTGCACTCCAGTCCTAATCTTAAGAATAGGCACATTTGAGTTAAAAACACGTTATATCGTCATTACAGACTTATAAAATCTGCATATGCCTTAAAACTAAAAGAAAATGCATACTTTTGGAGTCCGTACTGAGCCCAAGAAATTCGCAATGAAAATATAACGTGTTTAAAGCTGGTGAAATTAAATATGCTTTAATTGACAATTAATAATAAAATAATTATAGTAAACCTTTTTTGAGACTTGTTATTTGTTTTTAAATGTTTTGTTTTCCTCTTACTTTGCAATGATTATTGCATCCCCAAACAGATTTTATATTTCTTCATGAGTTTTATGACTTTAAACTCTGTGGCAATCGGGTGCCAGGCGTGTAGGCTGACAACTATTTATTACATAGGTATACAATAGTTACAACTGAAACATTTCAGCAATCTCACTTCAACCATGGAGATAGTAGCGAAAGTCTGTCCATAACATGTTCATTTCAATTACAGTCAAAGTTAAAGGAAAGTAGGAGAATAAGCCATAGCTCGCAGCATCATTGTGCTGAATTGCATATGGGCGTGGTCTGTGACTACAGTACCTAGCCACTGTAAAAAAGCGCTTATAGTAGCTACATGTTCACACCATACAACAAGGCTGAAATGAACTACTGAATAGCATCGGAATAACCCCCGACCTTTCTGATGCAATAGGTTCTTTAAAATGCACACAAACCAGATGTATACACTGAACCTCGATTTCAAGTCCTTATTTGATAAGACTTGGGTTCTACTAACCGAACCCAGAATGAGGAGTGGCTCGAACCAGCGCCAATGTTAAGGCTGTAGTTAGCGGAGCCCCTAACTTACCACTTGTCCCCTCGACTCCTTCTCCGAGTTTTCATGAAATTGTCTTATTTTATTATCATGTGTCACAACATAAAGAATAATCTTTGAGACATTGAGCCAGAAAGTTAATGGTATTCTATTTTTTACTAAGGTATAAGGGATTTATTTTAATTTATGAAGTACTTTTTATCCATATACCACTGACTACATGATTTACATACTAGAATTATAACGGTATTACTTGATCATAAAATAGTTGAGCCTATAAATCATAATTGTCAATAAATAGATCTAAAAATATATTGTGCATATACCTTATTAATTATTCAGAATAATTAAATAATTAATATCATCAACTGCATAAATATTAATACTAATATCAGTAAATTATTGTACCATTTCTCTGGAGTAAAAGAATATTAATATTTAGTAATTTTTAGGATTAAATTAACACAAAAAAAATAAATGATACTGTGGTAAGGTGGTTGCCTTTTAGTCATGAGGGCATTGGTTCAATTCTGAAACAAACATCAAGGGGAAAAATCAGAAACTCTCCTTTATAACGAAAGCATAGAATTCCCAACGATCACCTTTATCTCATAAATTTGAAACATTTTAAATATGATGTGGAATGAATCATGTTGAAATAAAAACACCTTGTTGTATATTTTACGCATATTTAACCTACTTGAGCTTGTTCCAAACCCATGACCTCTTTAGAGATGGTTATAAATAGATAGATAGAAAATACAGGTTATAAAATCTTTTGTTATCATGAACTAGCTCTGTGCTGGGGTCATGGTTTCCATGTAAGTTAATATTTATAGTAAAAATATATATAGTATTTATAGAGATATCATTTGATCATCACCAACGAGTTATATAGAAGTACATAGTCAAGAGGTAAAGTTGTCTGGAAAACAATCTTAAATTTTATACGGAAAAAAGAGATTTGGCAAAATGTTAAAGATTCCTTAGTTCTACCCTCATGACGGGTCATGTTCAAGGGGTGTACCCTGCATACCCTTACTTTGTAATGGGTATGTGAAGACAAAGACCTTGCTAGAAATAACTTAGCATATTTGTTACAAGTTAAATTTCTATGTAAACTCACTGACCCATAGGATCTGTAAAGGTAAAACTTACCCATTGGCTTCTTGATAGTACATTGCGATGGATGCCAGACACATGGAGACGAGATTTGGCAGGACACGTGGATGAGGGCAGTCGCTTGCTGGGCCATGCATGCTATGGAGAAACAAGTAATATTTATATTAATGACTATTGTAGCACGTTAGAAAAAGAAGTACTATACATTACTGTAACTTGCCATGAAGCAATGGTAAACACTCCAGATCACTATAGCTAATTTGCGGAAGTGCTTTCGCACTGCGGGAACAGTTTGGTTTCCCAACCTCGAGGTTAATTTCGAATTAGAACACCCGCCGCTATGAGAAAGTGGAAATTTTGGAAAAAAATAACAGTTTTTCTTATTTTTATCATGCCCTCTACTGCCTTAAAATCTCCAAAGATATGTATATTTCTTCCTAATTATATAAATTTGAAACATTTAACCATCCTATTTTACATTCACCAATAAAATTTTATTTTTATTTTCTCCTCCGTCTGGATGATTTTGTCAAAAATATTTGCTAAATAAGAAAACAAAATTTTATATTCATTTTTATTCCGCCCTCCTCCGATAATCTTTAAAAAAATAAGTACGCGGAACAAGGAATAAAAAGTTTCGCCTAAGCATGTGGATATTCCCATGTGGACCCAATGACCAGGGAAAACAAAGTATTTTGTAACATAAAGGAAAAAGTGCTATATAAGTACCAAATAATTACTATAATTCCTTTATCACATCAGTTATGTGTCTGTTTGATCCTATTGGTCTATAGTTTATTTTAGCTATAAATAACACATTTCTGGTATTGGACAGACAACTACAATCAACACAGGGGTAAATTAATGTCATCAAAATAACAAAAGAAGTTTATCGATTAATGACTAATCTGTGATATAGCAATAAATGATGGCATACTAGTAGTATTAAGAAAAACAAATGAATTAAAAACATACAAGAAAGTAAAAAAGAATTTTGAACTATAGCCACTCACTACTGCTCAATAACAAATGATATAAAATGGTCTAACCAGGAAGCAGTCATAATATAATCTAATGTATCTAACATTAATAACTAATAGAAAAGTTTGGGGTGGGGATTCAGTCTCCTGTACATTGAGACAGAAACAACAACATAAGTGGATTGGACATTGGCTCCTCAAAAGAACTTTAGATGGAAGACATCTAGGTAATCTGACCAGAGGTCGAAAGAGACGTGCATTCCCGGATAGCCTCAAACAAGGAAGCACATATCAAGAGTATAAGGAAAGAAGTGGTGGGAGTGGCTGGTATGAGCCTGCCAATGGCAGAACACTATTGCACTCAATGAACCAATCTTCATCACAACACATGTGATGTTGGCCTCAACATTTTTTTTGGTTTGCAATATTGAAGGACAAAGAAATACAATATCATTATATCAATGTACAAATCATACATAAATTTGGGTTGGCTCTGTGCACAAGGGATGATAATGTATACAATTGGGTGTAACTGTTTGATGTATGTACTGCTTGTATATTAATGCAAATAATAGCCCTTTTTGGCTTTTGGAGCTTCAATAATTGAATTCAATTATTTTTCGAGGATCATATATTTTTCTGGCTACCCGTAATTTACTCTAATTACTATATATATTATATATTATTATATAAACAACAGTTTAATGTTGAATTGGATTCAAAGCGCTATCCTGAAAAAAAAAACAAAAAGAGTATTCCAAGTAAATGTTTGTATTAAAAATAATAAATAGAACAGGTGAACACCCTTGCTTGTAGTGTGAACTAGTGTAAACTGGAACATGTGGTAATTTTAATCCTACAGTATAAGCATCGAGAGTGGGATATAACTGCGCTTTTGTAGAGTATTAACATTGTTATAGGGAAAAAAAGAAAAAACGTCAAAAGTTTTGAAACCACTTTCACATATACTTTTTCCTTGTAAATCTTCTGTCTAGTCACTTACTGTATTGATATTAATTTATTAAACCTATGTTTTACCCTCTAATCTTCTAAACATCAACCTATGATTCTTACCTGCTGACAAATTTCTGAATTGCACTTTCAGCATCATTCTTACAGCCAAGAGCAAGAACAAAATCTCGAACAAACGTTTGAAGTCTTGGGTTCTGCACAATACAATAAGGACAATATTGGGGTGAATCGATAAACAATCTGATTAACAATTTGACAATAAAAAAATGTAAGTAACCATGAATCTCAAAATCCCCCCCCCCCCTTCGCGTTCTTTTGTCTTTGTTTCTTGTGGCTTCAAAAGCACCTTGAGACGGTTTTCTGTGGAAGGAGTTATATAAATATATGACCATTGACCATACCTCCTGAAATAATTGTTCAATGAATGCAGAAAGTGTTATGTAGTGGTGTATTGTATCTAAGAGTATTGATGCAGGGGAGCTGACACTGGAGAACTGTAAGTGGGGGCACAAGGATTAATAGAGAGCTAGAGAGCAGTGAAAGTTAGTACAAGGTGATTTAATCATGGAGGAATTAGTATGAGTATTATTTTTTCGCTCAGCAATTTTCTAGAGGGAGGGAGGGAGGGAGGGGCGACGTCTGGTGGGGGTAAGTTTTTTCAGGGTGGTGCTAACCCCTACTGTCCCTGTACATACACACATTTTTATTACAAGTGTAGTAATAATATGTTGTCAACATCTTTAAAATATATTTTCTATGGTTTAATGGTATTCTATCATTTTGCACAGCTGAGTCTAATTTGAAGATAAGCCCTGTTTCTTTTTTTTTCAAAGAATGTCACTGCATTTAAATACATGCACATCAACCAACAACCTAAAATGTCTTATTCAAAAGACAGTGTGCTATTGTAACTTGCATCTAAGCCCTCTAGCTAAAACATAAGGAAACCAGAAATGGAGTTGAACTTGAGATGAAAGGTCAGACAAGATCTCCATGGTTCAGTCTAAGACAAGCACACAGTGGTTAATATATATTGGGTTAAAAAAAAATAAACATTGATAGATCATCTTAAAAAAGATCATTCTAAAAAGCAGGACATTATATCCAAAAGTGTTACACATCTATTTAGAGAGGGACGGTGGTTTGCAACATAACAAATGCTAATTACCTTTGGTGCTTTTAATAATAAATATTGCTTGCTATCTAATTTACGAAAGTCAAAACCTTTGAGTTTTTAAAATTTGATATATATTTTAAAATTCCTGCAATGAAAGAAACATAAATATAACTGACTGTGGCCTACGCAGTTAAGATGCAACTCAAGAAGTAACATTTCAGTATTATACAGGATTTCTTTGAATGGCAACACACGTCATTTCACATATCCATCCAACATTCATTTTTTAATTATCCGTCCACATATACCTATTAACCTATTACCACATATAATTTATGGTCGAGCATATCAAATTGTTAATACAACATACAATTGAAGAGACATTATTACTTTTTTCTGAGTAATTTCTATGAAATATGAATGCATTACTGTGCAGAGTTGCAGACGTTCATCAATGATGAAACTCACTATCATTCAAAATACAACTCACTGAATGCACATGATTACCGGTGGTGGATCAAGGAAAGATTTTAAAAAAGATAGATTGATCTTCATTGTCATGACCACAACTGGTGATTGATATGATATTCGGTATCCTTGAAGTTTCAATTCAAATACACCATACATTATTTAATAAACTAATAAACAATTCCAGTAAACCATATAAACTTAAATAAAATATATACAAAAAGAAAACTAAACTGATACTCAGATTGATAGCAATTCAATGAGGTATTAAATATAATTTCCTATTATTTATTTTCTTTATATATTTTGTTAGGCACACGCATATGCACGAAGGTCTGTCAATAGCAAAGATATTGCACTGTCCTACTTGTATGTGACAATCCTTTTCACACATATAAACACACACACGATGCTTTACAAAAAACTATATTTTCTGTTTGATTGTTATTCTGTTCTGTAATAGATCGAGCACACACCCACACACAGAAAGAGAAAGAGAGGAAGACACTGATATATACCATATTGTGTTTCAGGATTCGATGAACCACTGGTGTAAATAGTTCCATCACGACTGATGACCGGGGAGAATTGCGACAATGTTTACTAAAGAACAGGCAAATTTCTGGCGGTGGCTGGCTGTCCTCCAACAGTGGGGCAACTGCAGTGATGATGCTTTCATGAGAAACATTCTTCAATATATCATCATTCTGGAAGAAATAAAAAAACAATTAAGATGCGATGTTTTTTTAATCATTCAATACCCTTCAGAAAACAAAACATATCCATGAAACAAAATTAACTACAATTTGAACTATGCATCCCGGAGTAAGATTAAGTCCTATGCGATGCCTACATCCCCGTAACACATCAGATAAGACCAAGAAAATTTTTTTAAAAAGTTGTTTTTCATCCTAATATTTTGAAAAAAGGAGAATAAGGGCACTTTTTTTTTTTACTTGAAGATGGCAAATCCAAGATGGTGGATGGAAACAGCTACTACATTCTCACTTTTACCAAGTAGACACACTGAAAGCAAATGAAAGAAGCACTAGACATGATTCATACCATATGTATCCTCAATCCAAACGATCGAGAGAGGAATTTTGCTGATGTGGGTTAGACATTGCTTAAAATAAAGGAAATAAAAAAAAAATTGGTGATGCAGATATAAAATGGATGCGCAAGGGGACAAGAAACTAGTATTTTTTTTTTTACCTAAAATTTCTTAATTAGACCAACGATTATTATAAGTGAGTAATTTCAAACCGTTTTTTCATGCAACATGGGTATGTGTAGAATATATTGATATATTGAAATCTGAATTAGATAAAAAACGTTTATATATTGTACATGTAATTCCTTTAGTGTTTTTTCTATTAATAATATAATAATGTATATGGGAAATCTTATGGTACATGCTACACTTTTGTGCATCCGTTATTATTCTTCAAGCTCTAGCTCTTACATTCATATCACTAGAATTTTCATTTTTTGTATTTTTATACCTAACATCCAAGGATACATCAACATGGTACTACAAAAAGTTTATGTCAACTTGTGTGGCATGGGACAGGTTGGAAAAAATGGTAACTCATGCTATGCTAAAAGGACATGCCACAAAATGACTAGAGGTTTTTAATGGGTCATTCATTATTATATTGTTGATAGTGTTTAATCCCATTTCTTATTATTTATACTTAAGGAGCAGCTAGTGGTAGTAGAAGAATGCCATCAAACATTTGTGAAAAAGTTTTAAAATATAATAAAAAATACATTTCTTGAAAAATCATACTACACATACATAAGTATCATACTGAAAAGATACACGAGAGATTCATAAGGTTGTTCATGGCACCGTTTTTTGACACAGGTGTAGTTTGAAGACAGACTAGTCCACCTGTATGTAGGATAGCCTCATCAATGCTGCTGACATGGTGGCATATTTACAAACCCATCAGTAACTCATGCTACAGTGTTTAAAGGGCCATTATTATATGGTGTATAGTCTTTCAACCAATTTCTTATTATTTAGGAATAATCGGTAGCAGAAGAATTATGAATAAAAGTGCCATCACAAAAAGTGGAAAGGTTTTGAAAATAAAATAAAAACTACAACTCTCGGTAATGCAAGCTACTGTACTCTACACATTCAGTGTACCGTAATTCTCGCACTGACAAGATACATGAAGGGATATTCACATATATGGTTGATATTCCTGCAAGACCATATTCCACAGATATAAAATTTAATCAAATGAAAGGGAAAATAGTCATGCCTGGAAAATAGAGCCCATTGGTAAAATCATTCATGAATATGACCTGACCTTTTTCAATCCAATTATACTACTAAGAATAAAATGAATTTTATTTAAAAAGAAAGCGATATATACACCAAAAAAAGTTTATAACCTCATACTGTAGCCTATACAGACGTGTTTGGAAAATATTTAGGCAAAAAAAATCATCTGTACACAATTTGATTTTTTCATGTATATTTTGGCGTGGAATAGCCAATATATAATTGTGCGAGTAATATTGTGTGAGTATCAAACTGTTGACAAATTTATAATTCACTATGAAACATATATTAATAAAAATAAACTAATGTTGATACTGTGGTATAAGGTTATACTTCATAGTTATATAAACATAAGATACAGACTAAACATAGATACTCTGTATATTAGGATATCTGTGGTATCCATCTTGGATGAAGATTAGATTCTTGATTAGTATGATCTGAGCGGGATTTAATTTCATCAGCCCTCGAGGCAAGTGGTTTTACATCACCCTCTTTAACATGAACGACTATGGCACAGATACTATATAATATCTGAGATTAAAGTAGAATTACTTTAAAGCCGGCAGCCATATTTTTTTTGACTCGCTCCGAAAATGACATTATTTGTCAATCATTTTTCCCAGTAATATGTACAGCGGCTATAAATTTCAGGATCCCATGATCAACACAGTAATAGGCAGGGTATACAGACAAATGATGTATAACATGGCCTGCTTATAGCAAATTCTGAAGTCAATAGTTATTTTGTTAGTTATCCAGGTCAAGGAACCCTTTTAGTAAAGCCCATTCCCAGCTAAAACTTTTAGTTGTTTGGAAAAATCTGATTTTTATGTTATAAAGATTTATAAATATAATACGAAATTGCTAGTTTAACTGAATTTAGACATTCCTAAAAACATGAAAAAAATGTGAAATAAGACTGAAATTTTATTATTTGTGTTCCACACAAAAAATTAACGTGGATGAATTTTTTATGTTTGATTTTGCGACAGTTCTGCTAAGAAATATAGTAGGCACCGGAAACATTAGGATATCCAATACGGCTAGGCCTAGCCTTACCTTGATTTGAGTTCTGTTATCATCAGACATAAAAACGGCCGACATATTTTCTGTTGCTAGTATTGACACTTGTGAAATATAATATTTTATTGGCATTATTTCAAATTGGTTAAAAAATTATTCTGACCAAGATTCTGACAATTAAACAAACCTCTCGCAAGATGAGAAATCAGCCTTTAAAGTTTATGATTTCAGGCATTTCTCATGCAGAAACTATCTTTAAATCCTTAAAAAGTGTTGTTTTAACATTGAAAATTGGGAAAATAACAGCATAGAATGATGTGTAGATATATAAAGGTTAGTTTAGTGAAATAAAATAGATTTTAAAAAATTTGACATTCCAGCATGTTTTGGTCATTTTTCTCTGAAACACGATTTGCGACGAATGACTGGTTTGGCTTGTCTTTGCCACAAATAGTCTCTATTTCAAATTTTTTTTATCCTTTTGCATACAAATATAATTTGTGCCAATATTTTTCCATGATTTATAATAGAAAGTAGAGTAATGCATATGCATTTTTTTCTTTAAAAAAAAAAATTTTTTTTAGTGAAATTTTGCCAGGAATGGGGCTTATTGTATTTATTTGAAAATATGCCTTGCCATCTTGTCTTTGAAAATGTTTGTACTGTAGTTTGTGTTAGCCTACATAAACTTGCGAAAAGGCTACATTGGCATCCTTTCGAGAGGCTGGGGTAGGTTCCAGATATTTGCAGGAGGGTTCAGAAATAATAAGGGTACTCCTGTAGAAATGACACAAGTTTAAATGACGTGGGGAGCCATCTTCTCCCTTGCCTTGACAGATATTTTGGATTGTTTTTCCAACTTCCTGATTTTTACTTTGCTTCCAAACATTCTCAAAGAAGCAACAACAAAGTTACCTTTTAATTAAAGAACTGCAGCCAATAACTTCTGTTCTGTTGACAGTGATAGAATATGGTAAAAACTGGATTGTATAATACATGCTGTCATAGACATTGCTTATTCGTCATATATTGACTTATTTTAGTAATTAATATGGTCACTTTAAAATCTATTCCGTTATTTTAGTAAACATTCAGTATGCCTTTTGTCACCCGCACTCACTGAAGTGGTAAATTCCACTTATATTTTATCTGCTCCTTCCACTGTACTGTACTAAAACTTAACAATTTGAATAAGAATTCTCACATGTGTTGCTTTTGTAACAACACAACACAAGTCCTCATCCAATATTTTGTAGATTCTTGTTCGTGTAAAATAATTTTTTAAGGTATTTTTATGGTTATAAATAGGAACTCAAAAAATGCCATTAACAGAAAGACACCTGGTATGATGCTATGATATATTTCTTCCAGATCCGTGCATACGTCAACATGTTTTGTCCTTACACAAATTAGTATGATATGATAGTTTAAGTTCCAACTTCTGCATTGCAATTTTTGTCTTTATTGTAGTTACCTGTCTTTATAGCATCTTTTTGTGTGTTTTAGTTGAAGATTTTATTTTTATTCTCTGTTAAAGCATCTAGCAAGTTGTGCATATCAACAAATAAATATATTTTGTATTTCATTCTAGAAAATAAGAATTTACATGTTGTTGTAATAAAAAAAAATTATTCAATCAACCTCCTGTTTTAAAAATAATAATTTAATAATTGTCAATTGTTTCAACTAATACTGAAACAGCTAAATAAAGCAATAATAATTTTTTTTTTGCTGCGAAGCAGCCAATTCATATTCTTGACAGCAATTTGACCTCTAAAAGGTCATTGTTTGTCAAAAAACATGGGCCTAAGATGACTGAAAAGCGGAGTTTCCTTCTTTCGTTCTGCCGGGTAAAATCAATTACTTTAGGCAATGTTTGTAGACTAACCTACTCGTACCAAGTATTACTATTCAGCGTTTTTACTATATTTCTAGGTTTAATTCCTATTTCTACGTTTAATCGGCCCATGTCTCAGCCACAATATTTTGAGGCCAATATTATTTACGAACCCAGTTAAACTTATTTACTAGCCTATTTCAGCGTGCTAATTATTACATTTAGGCGATGCTTGTTGTAGACTGGCATACCCGGTACGAGAACCAGTCAATTCGAGGGGATACCACTTCGAGCGAAGGCCAATTCGAGCGGAATTTTTTTCGAGCGGAGGCTAGTTTGAGCGGAAGAAGATCCACTTGTGCGAACAAGAGTACGAATTACTTCAAAATTTCCTATTTTTTAGCTAAAAATTTGACATTTTTTGAGTAGCATTAACTCAATTACAAATATAATTTGAGCTAAAAATTTGACATTTTCAAAGGGGAAGGGGGCACACAACAGTTCCAGAATAGATAAGTGAGTAGCATAACTCAATTACAAATATA